CTGTTCCCTTCAGCACGTCGGGTTCGCGCAGGCTCGTGTGCTTCTTCTCTGTGGACTTTGCTGTTTCTGAGCTAGATGGCCGCTTGTTGTATGTTTCATCGGTGCTATACTACACCCTGACTGGCTTGTCTCTTCCTGTGACCCTTCTGTGAGGGGGATGTCTCACTTGTGTGTACTGAAGATTATATTCAGTGTATCTATTTGAAATATTTGAGTTTGAGGAAATGTTTTTGTAACTTGCTGAGCCCTTAGTATGAGCTCCTGTTTTTTCCTCCCTACCTCATGAACCCTTGATAATTTATAAATTACTGTTATTTTCATAGCTTACACTGACAGCTGTCTCCCTTAACCCACGTTCCTACTGTTCATCTCCCTTCTAGGGGCAGTTATACGTCAAACAATGAGTAAAACAATGTTTCTCATTTTTTGGGTAGTTATAATTCCTGTATAATTTTAATCTTGAGGTGTAGTTTCTTTACCATTTTATTCAGATTCTTTCATTTATCCTATATTTTCCTTTGTCTTTCTTTTTTCCACTCTCTCTTTCATTTTTAACATTTGGATTTTTTTTATCTGTGTCCTCCTGAAGCCCTGGTTTAGATTGTTGAGAAGACATGATTGAGAAATAATTGTTATTCAAAAACATTAGAAACTGTGATCACTGGCTGTAATTTAATTCTTTATTTCTCTGTTCAGGGCAAACAGCACAGCATCAGTGTTGTTGATGTTATTATTATTATTTTTAACACCACTTGGTTAGGGGCCAGATAAAGCATTTATTATAGTAGAGAGCTCATTGTATATAATAAATTTTAACTAAGAAAAGGAAACATCATTGCTTTGACAAAATAACAAAAAATAGCATCCTTATATTATACCCTTGGCTGTAGAGAAAGTTTTGTTTGTAAAACTCAAATGAATTCTAGCCAATGACTTAAGACTTAAAAGAAAAATTATTTATACACAAATATAATACTTTTATATTTTAAGGGTAACCTTCCTGCTCTGTAGTACCAAGGATGAACTATATGCATTAATAGAAGAGTGGGTTTTTATTATATGTACTAGGTATCTTTTGATATAATAGAAAAATGTATTATATGCTTTTGATATTCAATGTACTGTTTTACTAAAACATTAATTATCAGATAAGAACATTCGTTTAAAAAGTGGTTTGCAACAGAGCCAAGTAATAGAAAGCCATGTTGTATTAAGCTGTGTCTCATGATCCCCCTTTTTTAAAAAATTATTTATTTATTTAACATTTTATTAGGGGCTCATACAATTGTTATCCCAATCCATACACACATCAATTGTGTAAAGCGCATTTGTACATCGTTTCTCAAAACATTTTCTCTCCATTTAAACCCCAGACATTA